GGGAAGGGAGAGTTGGGGTGCCGGCAGGCGCTGTGAGCCCCAGGCCACCTTCATTTCCCTCTGGATTCGTGGGCGGCTGCACCAGCTGCTTTGGTGCCCTCTTCTGACCACGGATAGGACTGCAGCTCCCTTCGCGGCCATCCCCCACACTCATAGGGCTTTGGGGTCCCGCTCTAGGGGGATTCATCCCGGGAGAGCTAAGCCTCTGACCATGTGGCTGCAGGCCGACCTCCTCCCCTCTGCTTGCCTCAGGCCCACTTTACGTGCCAGGACCACTCTGGGGCCCAGGGGCCTGTCTTGAGGATCTCAGATTTCCATTTGGGTCCGCGAGCCTGGTGCCCATGCTCTTTGTGTGGGCTGGGTGGTCCACAATTTTTTTTAAGATTTTTTATTTATTTATACAAGAGCTGGGGTACAGGCCAGAGGTGAGGGAGGGTGAGAGGATTCTCCAGAGATGGAGCAGGGAGAAGAACAGGAAGACCGATGAAGTACACTGCTGAGGGGAGCAGCTGGTGAGACAGGAGAGGTCTGCCACACCATGTGGGTATCTCCCTGGCCAGCCAGGTATTGAGCCCACACTGCAGAGGCTGCAAACAGCTTCACAGCTCTGCGTTCAACCCACTGTGCCACGGGGGAGGCCCCGGTCATTCACATTTTCAAGGTTTATTCTCATGATGGTGGCTTGGGGGGCTGTGGGGTTCCTGAGCAGAGTCCTGGTCCCCTCTGGGATGGTTTCACCAGAAACCCCCTCTCAGCAGCATAGGGCGAGCCCCCCACGGCTCCTTCCCAGTGGGAAACAGGGCAGCGGGGATGGCGAGGGAGCAGAACTCCAGCATCTTCCACCAGAGGCGCCACTGCCTAGGCGGCCCCTGTAGACCTTCAGGGGTCCTGCTGCCACGCCATGCTGGGTGACCCCATGTGTGTGGGGGCGCTGCTGGGGCACCTATGGGACATGCCCCAGCACCTATGGGACACCTGCCTTCCCCTGGGGGGGCTGGACCCCATGACTTGCTGCTGGTGCAATCCAGGAGCCACACGGTCTCCTCCGAGTTAGTCTACAAGGCGGGGCAGCCACCGAGCGCGAGAGTCTGGCCCCCCTCCCCACTGCAAGCCCCCAACCCCAGGGCCGCAGCACCTGGAGGTGAGACTGCCACGAGCCGGCTCCACCTGGGAGACCTAGGGGGGAGGGTGGCAGCAGGACCAATGGTATGGCGAGTCTCCCATGCTATGGCACGCTGGTCCATCCGCCTCCCCCGCTGGCTCTGCTCCATCAGGGCTGCGCAAGGCGCCCCCTGCAGAGCTCACTGGGCCTTGCATCCCCTGCCTGCGGGGCCTCAGGTCCACAGATGGCCCTGGGGCCAGGGGCGCAGGCTCATCTCCTGGAGGAGCCCCTCCGCCTCCTCACCTGTTCACAGGCACGCGGCCCCACCCCTTCACAGCCGGGCGGGTGAATGGGGCAGAAGCCTGGGTCGCTGGGAGACCCCTGCTTCCACCCTGCAGACGCTCTGAAGGCGCCTTACCAAGTCCGTTGCTTTTTGAAGCAGTGGGGCCGTTGGGCACTGGGACTTAGGGTGACTGCCCTAGAGGAAGGAGGCTGGGCCTGGCCTTGCAGCTCCGAGGGCTATAGTCATCAGCGGTGTGGATAGGCTGGGGAGCTGCTCCTGGCGGGAAGGGCCAGTTCCACTCTCCTGAGCAGGGGAGGCCCCACCAGGCATGTGCACGTTGCTGGACCAAGGCTCCAGCCATGTAGTCTGTGATCAGGCTCCGGCTCAGGTCAAACTACTGCCAGCAGGCCCTAGGCTCATGTCCAGCCCTGCAGGAGTGTGGTCCCTGCCTCTCCAGTGGCCAGAACACCCTCCTCTCTGTGGCCTGGGTCCTCTCTGGGACCTGCTGGCTGTTCCCTGGGTGCCAGGAGCCCGGTGCCTGCCCTCTGGGGCAAAGGCGCCAGGTCTGCAGGAGAGGCCGGGACCTAGGTCACCTGGTGATAGCCTCACTTGCCCAGCAGGGGCCAGACGCGGCATCCAGGGGAGACTGGAGTGCAGGCCAGGCAGAGGTCGGCGGGAGGACAGCCGCAGTGCCATCCAGGGAAGCCCGCTGGCTGGCAATCCATCCCCAAGGAGACCCGTGCCTGGTGGTCAACCCTTGGTCCCAGAGCGGGGCTGACAGGCAGCCCGATAAGGGCCCTGTTGTCAGATATGATAATAATAGTCTCATTTATTCACATAAAGGCCTGCTAATAGAGGCGGCACTTTTAATTAGCCAACACGGCCGCGATATTAATTTTTATCCGGAGTTAGTTAAGTCGGGCGCTTCCCCCACTTCTGTTACCTCTTAGCTGGAGGGCGATTGAGAACATTTGTAATTGGATTTCCGTGCAGGACTTAATTATCAGGAGACAATAAAGGCCTGGAGTCTGGCAGGCCCTACCTTGCTAACTGCTATTTTCCAGAGACGCGCTCAGGCCAATGGCTGCACAGATTTATCTAAATTATAATTTCCTGACTTCACAAAGCCTCTCCTGCCTGGGACCGGGAGGGCCTCGGAGGACGGGTCCTGGGGAGGAGGGCAGAGCTGCGCCTGGTTCCTGTAATCAAGTCTCGCTCACGGGCTCGCGCAGCTCCCTGGCCCTCGGGGTCTCGGAAGTGTTTTCTTCCCTTGGCCACTGTCTTATTAATAGCATCGGCTTATTTATATCTGCCCCGAAGATCCCAAAGAGACACTGCACCGGGGAGAGATGAGCCAATTAGCTGTCGGTTTGTCGAGGGGCTAGTGTGGTTAATTCACTGCCCTTTTCCAGTGATGGCCTCGGTTCAGAGGACACAAAGGAAAGAGAGGAGGAGACAACGTGACATACCACATGTCTCTGACCCTCTGGAAAAACTCAGCCAAGAGGCCAAAGGCTGGGTGGGGACGCACCCCCCCACTCCAGGCCTGAGTCCTGTCCATGGTGCTGGCGTGTGCGCGGCCGTGCCCACTGCCCAGGGCCTGCGGCGCCTGCCTCCGTGGAGTCCTCTCTGGACTCTGCCCCAGGGGCCTGCATACCCCCTTTTCTGCCAGGCCCTCTGTCGAGTCCCCTCAGAGACAGGGTGGATCAGGGTAGGTGGCTCTGGGCGCTGACAACAGACTCGGACTGTAGCAGACTCTGGCCCCAGCAGGACTGAGCTGGCCTGGCAGTTGCGGTGAGGGCCGAGGGGGCTCCCTGCAGAGCTGCGGAGAGGGCAGCCTCAAGCAGTCCGGCTGCAGGAAGGGCTGTGGATGCGCTGCGCACGCCGCCTCCAGGACAGCAGCAGGAGCACAGGACACTCTGAGAAAGCGGCAGGCCCCTTTGCACACCTAGAAACTTGGGCCGGGGTGGGGCCCAGGGTCAGCAAGTGCATCAGAGTCCAGCCACCCCGCGAGGGTTGCGAGCATACAGACCACTTCCTGAAACTTCCAGGTCTTCAGCCTACCGTGCTGACCACCTTGGGCCCACAATGCTGCCCACCCTGGACCTGCCGAATCTAATCTTCCGACACTTGGCACATTTAATTGTTCCCACTGACTATAAATGGAAGAGAGGCGCGCCTGTCTTGGGCCTTATTTTTAGGGGTTCAAGGTCAAGGTGTAGTTAGCGTGACAGGAGGAAGACCCAGGGGACTGGTCTCCTCTGTGGCCTCCATGGTCTCTGGGATGTGCAGCCTCTCGCGGGGCTGTTTCTGGCGAAGCCCGTTGGCTCCTCAGGACTCTGTAGGTTTTTCTCAGGCGGTGCTGCTGTTTGCTCGACTGTCTGAGTTTTCAATAGTGTCAATTGATGTTTTATGCAGCCAAACACATTTTCCCGTGATTTCTGCAGTTGCCTTTGCACCTGGAAACCCCATCTCCACGCGAGGGAGGAACAAGCACCTTTCACTCCAGGGGCTTCGGGCTCATGTGTCAGCATTGAAGGCTTTAGTCCAGCTGGCGCTGGTTCTGTCCTGCGCTGTGGGGTAACCCCCTGTCCCCCCTCCCCCGTGATGTGCTCCCCACATTCTGGGCATGACCCAGGTGTGTTCTGGGTGTGTCCCGGGCATGTCCCTGGTGTGTCCCGGGTGTCCCACCCACTGGGGCTGCCTATCTGCTCTGCGCCCTTGCAGGCCCCTGTGTACTCAGGGTCGGCAGTGCCCTCTGACCGGCTTGTGTGGGGCAGCCCTAGGCTGCAGCCCCCGGTCATGTCCATGCAAAGTGTCCATGGCCGCCTGTGGCTGCTCAGGCAGGTGGGGTGGGCACAGACCCTTGTCCAGGAGACACTGCACTTGCGCTCGGGGCCCAGGCCATGCTGCTGGCTCATCACATCAGGATGGGCCTGGAGCCTCCTCTGTGCTCCCAAGGAGCTGGCCTGATCAGGGCAGAGAGAGGATTGGGGGAGGAGGCTTGGCAGGGGGCAGGAAGGGCATCTTGGGTCAAACAACCCCACCTCTGGGCCATGGCCAGTCCCAAGTCAGTGCTGCCCCAGGCTGACCAGAGCCCATCCCCATCCTGCTTCCAAGGCACCTCCCTGGCTTGCCCTTGCCTTCTGCTGGCGGGAAGGACAACCATGCCCTTGGTGGGGGCCATGGCTGGCTGTTGGGTCCCCCCTTGTGACCCAGCACATGTGCAGCGCAGCCTGGCAGAGGCGAACGTGTTCCTGGGTGGTGTGCGGCCAGCTCCCTCCTGCCAGCCACTGCTCCCAGGGGGTCTCGGCCCTTCTCCATCACAGCCCATGTGGGAATGCTGGGGTGGGGGACAGCCGGACGGGTGGGCTGCTGGCCATGTGTGTCCACACACAACCGCGTCGACGCACACATGCACGTGCAAGTGCATAGGTCACATGTGGGGTGTGTGCTGCGTGTGTATGTGCATGCATGCATGGATGTGACTGCTGTAGCAGACACCAGTGAGCTAAGCCCCAAAGCACCCAGAGGCCCCTACAGGCAACACCGCTTGGCCTCCGTCCCGCTGCCAGGACCGGGCGGCTCTGAACAAGGGCTGGAGATGGACCTTTTTATCCAGTAAACTTTATTTATATATAACAACAGTACAAATGTGTCCTTGGCTTGCAAAATAGGCGTGTTTCATATTTACAGTAGGTACACAGTAATATATTAGGGTAGCAAAAGCCCCGTCCATGGGGTGCCTTAAATACTTCATTTTCTTACAGTTTTTAATTCCACAACACCTGTAAAACAACAAAACCAGACAGCTATCATTGTATTTCCTTAAAAATATATATAACACAGATTCCAGTGTGTCGAGGAGTGTGGCAGGCAGAGGTGGGGCCGCGTCCGCCTGAGCACCCAGCGGGGCTGTGGTGCTGCCCACTGGGCCAGTCTTCTAGAACTGGCAGGTGCGGCCATTCAGTGCCACACTAGTGTCCTGGCAGCCCAGGGCGTCCCTGCACCAGGAAGCCACTTCCCTTTGTGGGGTCACTGGCCCCCGAGGCTGAACCTCATTCTTTGGGGAAAACAGGAGAAAGGACGGAATAGGGCAGGAGGCTTTGGGGTCTGAAGAGCCGCCCCGCAGCTGTTCAGGTGGTGCCTGCTGCCCCCAGGGCCTGCCTGCCCCTACACCATGTCTCAGGCTCCTCTCCTTGCCCTCAGGGCCAGGCAGCACAGTCTCGGGCTGGATGGGTGGTGATGGTACTCGGCCCTGGCCTGGGAACAGCTGCCCCAGGTCATGGTAGCAGGTGGGAGGCAGGTGTGGCCAGAGGCTCCTGGGGGGCACGGGTGTGAGCCTCCCACACGCCCACTGGCTCTGGGTCCTTGCCACCTGGCCATGCCCTCGGGCTGCTGCTGTTTCCCTTGCAGGGGGCGGGGGTGGCAGGAGGCAGGAGCTCGGCAGTGGGGGCAGCTCACATAAGCGGCCTCTTCGTGGGGTGAGCCCCGGCTTAGTAAGGCAGCTGGTGAGCAGGCTCCTTCCTCCACCTGGCTGTGCCCTCTGCAGGAAGGTGGTACCCTCCGCAGTAAGCTGAATGTGCTGGCCAAGCCTCTGTCAGCGCCCTGAGTAGAGCCCAGTCTGGGTGGCTAGGAGGTTCCGGCCAGATGCTGCAGGAAACAGGGCCTTGGGGCAGACCGAAGAGGCTGGGTTTCAGGTGGGATGGTCCAGGAGGGATGCTGACCACAGGCTGGGGTGGGGCAGCAGTGTGACTGGGGCGGGATGGCCCAGCTCAGACCCTGGCCAGCCTCTACCATCCTTCCGCAGGCACCGGCTCCCTGGAGGCCGTATCTCGGTGAAGCCGGGTGGACTTTCTCCTGCCTTCCCTCCCAATGGCCGGCACAGGGCGGCCAGCCCTCCACCAGGCAAACCCTCAGGGCAATGCAGGAGGCCTGGGCCCCAAAGGGCTGGGTTGCCCGGAGCCTGAGCGCCCCAGAGAGCCCACTCCTGGCCCGTGCTGGATGGAGGTATCTTCTTCCTTCCTTCCTCCCTGAGGGACACTGCAGGTGGGCCTGCCGGCCAGCCTCCCTAACACACTCGCAGGCCCCGGCGGGCTCTTCCCACGTCGGCAGCCCTCACTGGGCACTGTCTGGGTGGGGCTGGCTGGAGCACAGGGGCTGAGGGCGGTGATGTCTGGCCTCTGTTTGCCAGGCAGGGGCTGCCTCTGCCCACAGGCTCAGCTCAGAAGGCGGTTCTGGGGGCAGACCCTTGGCCACGCCATCTCCTCCCCCACTGGGCACAGCCTGCAGGTGACCACGCTGGGCCTGGGAAGGGCAGCACTTGGGCTGAGTGCGGAGGCGGGAGTGGGCACCTTTCGGGCCACGGCGCGGAGCTGGCAGCAGGGTCCCTGGGAGCAGCGCTGGGCTTGCTGGCTGTGATCTGCCTCAGAGCAGCGTTTCCTGAGTGTGGGGCCACACCGTCTTCTGCTAGCCAGAGTGTCGGGTGGACATGGGCACCAGTGTGGAGGCATGTGGGTGGCGTCAGCACGCCAGGTGGAGGCCAGCCCAGCCCCTTGCCCTCCAACGTGGGCAGCATGGCCTTTGGGACTTGCTTGGAGGTAAAGCTGGGCCTTCAGCCCTGGTGAGCCAGAGGCAAGGACGCCGCAGGGCAGGCGTGGAAGGGACGTGTGGCAGCCACCCCTGCCCTTCCTCCCGCCTATCCTGCTGCCCTCACTCAGGCTTGGCCAGAGTGGAGCGTGGTCATCCTGTTGCAGGCGAGCGGGACAGGCTGCCGCTCCTTCCACAGACTCACAGTAGAGCCCCCAAAGGGGTGGGCGGGCAACCAGGGAGCTGCTGCCCACGGCCAGGCCTGGCACCTCTGCAGTTGGCAGCGAGCATGAGTGCATGAGGACAGACATGGCTTCTCTGACCTCGCATTTCAAGTATTGCCTTTGGCAAAGGGTGCTGACTCTCTGCATCCTCTTTCACGGCAAGAAGTGGCAGGCAGAGTGCCCAGGCCCAGCAGAGGCCCACGTGGAGCCCACTCACCCAGGACGCCGAACACAGGCACAGCCGCCCGGTCCCGGGCCACTCCCCATGCTGAGACCCCTTTTGTCGAGGGCCCAGACCTCGGGCTCCGCCCAACTGGACTGACCAGGGGTGCAGGCTGCACAGCTGCTGTGCAGAGTGTCTGGTGGGGTCTGTGCTGTTCTCCTGATCCTCCTCCTGGTCCTCCAGCTCCTGGTCCTTCAGCTCCTGCTCCTGCTCCTCCTTGCTTTGTAAATCCCCGGGCTCCCCCGTGGCCTCTCCACGGTTGTTGGCGTCTGTAGGCAGGAGGTGATGGTGGGAGGACGGAAAGTCGGAGGGGCCGGTCCGAGTGAAACGGAGGTTGCATGGGAAGAACCTGGAGGCTTTTGTTTCCTTTTATTTCTGTTTTCCCCCTTTCTCTTAAAAAAACTAACTAGCGTTCTTATTGTTCCGCAATATACATCGGATGAGCTTCATGCAAAGGGCGGGCACCGTGGGGCTCCAGCCTGAGCCACTGCCTTCCTGTCCTGGCATGTCCCATCGCCGCAGGGCCTGGGGCAGCGGCTGGCCTGACCCGCTGCCGCGGTTCGAGCCCCTGGCACAGCTGTGGTCCTCTGGGGCGCGGCCGCGCTCAGCTCTCGAAGGACATGGCATTGATGAGCTGCTCCACCTTGTGGGCCAGTCGCTGACGCCGGGCCTGCTCATCCTGCTCCAGCGCCCCAATGAGCTGCGGGCAGACAGCGCTCAGGACCGACCCCACCCCGTGCTGGACCCAGGCCAGGAGCACATGGGGAGCAGGTGCCTCTGGTGCCACAAGCATGTGTGTGTGCATGTGGATGTGAAACTGTGTGCCTGTGTGTGCATGTGGGCGTGCAGACTGTGATCTGTGCATGTGTGTGCATGTGTGTGTGCCAGTGTGCACAAGCCCCCACCCCATCCCTGCGATCGGTGCAGCCGCTACCACACCCCTACCGCCGCCCTGGGGGGCAGGCCGTGGGTGGCCCTGGGGCTGCTGGTGCTCAGTGACTAGAGCAGGTGAGGAAGCACAGCCCCCACACCAGCTGGCAGGTGGGGCTCACATGGGGGGGGAGAGGCGGGGGCGGGGATCAGCAGGGGCGGGGCTTGCTGGGGGCAGGACTTGCTAGGGCAGAGCTTGAGCTAGACAGAGGCAGGGGCAGGGGCAGGGTCGGGCCCTTCCGCCAGGCCGCGGGTGTCCACCACAAGCTCACCTCTGCGCTGTACTTGCTGACGTAGGAGTAGATCTCATTGAGCGCGCTGAGCATGTGGAACTCAGTGGCGTGCAGGCGTGATTGCTCGGCCAGATAGGCGTTCATGTCCTGGTCACTGATGGTGGGAAGCTTGGCGATGTCGGCGTAGTACCTGCAGGGAGCAGCTGTGGAGGGCCTGCCCCGCCCCTCTCCCAGGACTTGGCAGTTTGGGCTGCAGTGCAGGGGCGGGGGTGGGGGGGTGGGGTTGTGGGGGGCGGTGTAGTTGGGGGGATGCAGGGAATGGGAGGAGAGACACTCCCTGCATTCAGCCAGCCCCACCCTGCCCTCTGCTTGCAGGGTGACCTTGGGCAGGTGACTCAGCGTCTCTAAGTCACTTTCTCATAGTAAGGGGGAGGGGGCCAGGCCTTAACACAGATGCATCCCAGAGCCACCGCCTTGCTGGGCTCCACTCAGTCAACGGTCAGTGGTCAGCAGAACCAGAGTAGCTTTCTGCAGGGACGTGAGCGCCCCAGCGCGCAGCCGGGGTGGGGCGGGGCAGGGTAGGGCAGGGCAGGGTAGGGTGGGCAGTGGCCTCACCTCTCCACCCAGCTTTTGTAGCTGGGGATGTCCTTGGCGTAGAGCAGCTTGTTGGAGGGCGAGTCCTTGCCCAGCCGGTGCTCGGACGTGGAGCAGGAGTCCATGAAGGTCTGGGCCACCACTGACAGGCAGGCGTCTGTGATGCTGCTCTTGTGGATGTCGAACACGAACTGCGGGTTCTTGATCACATTTACCCAGAAGCGTAGGGGCAGGCTGCGGGAAAAGCAGGCTGAGGGCACCGCCAGACCCACTCCCCGTACCCCCTGGGCCTGGAACCTGAACACTGTCACCTGGGGGTGCTCAGGGCCCTAGGGGGCACTCCAGTCCAGGGGGTGTGCATGGAGGTCCTGGGAGCACCTGGGGCCGGAGGGAGGCACATGGGACCCTGGGGTGCTCTAGGTCTGGGGCCACTCAGGGCTCTGGGGGGGGTTCTTGAGGGCCTGAGGGTACATAGGGCCCTGGGGGGCACTTGAGGTCTGTGGGAGTGCATGGGGCCCTGGGGGGCACTGACACGCTCTCTCACTACCAAGTGGGGAGCTCTGGGCCCTCCTGCCAGGAGAGCAGGGCACCGGGCAGCTGCAGGGAGGACCAGGTATGGCCAGGAGCAGAGAGGCCGCCTCCTCAAGACAGACCCTGAGCTGCAGAAGGGGCATTCCTGACCAGCCAGTCCTCAAGTGGACAGACGCCCTCATGGGGTGCCCGCACAGGTGGCTCAGCTGTGGTTCTCTCAGGGCTGCCCATCCGCCAGGCCTGGGGTCCAGGGTGCTGTCTGGAAGACCCAACCCCTGGGAGGGCACAAGGGTGCCCTCTGCACCCCCATGAGCTGCCAGGGAGCCATGCCTACTCCACCGGGCAGGCAGGCAGGTGGGAGGCCACTGCTGGGTGGACTAGAGTCTGTCCACCTGACGACCTGCCCCTCTGTGGGGGCAGCTGTGAGTCCCAGCTGTGCTGGCCTGACTGGTCTTGCAAGCCCGGAGCCTGCCACCACCCTGATGTTCATGGGCCAGGCTCCCCGCTGTCTCGGGGTACCCTGTCTTGGGAGAGATGGGCTTGGCCTCTGCCCCCCTTTCTTCAGGCAGCGTCCACAGCCTCTGATGGCCCAGTGGTCTCGCCCTCCTTCAGTGGTCAGGGCTGCAGACCTGGCAGGGCCAGCCACAGCCCCAAGCGGGGAGGACTGTGGGGTTGGTGGGATCTCTCAAGTGTTTGCTGGTTGCTAGGACTGCGGGTGCCCAAACACCAGCTGGGCCCATCTGTGTGGCTGCCCTGGCTGGAGCAGGCAGACCCCACAAGCTGGTGCTGGCTGCCCGCTGCTTCCTGGGGGGATCTCCTGCTCCTGGCGATCCCGTCTGACCTGAAAGCCAGACCTGGGCTTGGCCTGAGTCTGGTTCCAGCCCCAGGGGAGGAGCAGTGGACCCGGTGGGTCTGGGGGAGGCCCGTGCAGCCGGCTGTGCCTGTGAGGAGGCCTTAGAGGGACGTCTGCTGTGCTGAGCCCCCAGCTGTGCTGAGCCCCACAATGACCAGCGTCCCTGGGGACACGCCCCCGCACCCCCACCCTGGATGCTGTTCCGGGGCCCAGTGCCCCGGCTCTGCTGCTGGCTCCCCCTGTGGGCCTTTACCCAGCTCCTGGCCCCTTCCCAAGAAGCGACAGTCTCCACCCAGGAGTAGGGGCCCTCAAGTCAGCCTCCCGGTGCAGGGAAGGGGTGCAAGACCAGGAAAGCTCCCACACTCTGGGTGCTGGCCTCATGGGGACCAGGCCCTCCCCCTGCCACCCTGTTCTGTCCACTGTGTGGGCCAGCCCCCCGCTGCAGCCACCCTCAGGGCCAGCATCCCTCCCTCGTTCCAGCCACCCTCCGGGCGAGCCCCCCTGCTGCAGCCACACTGCAGGCGAGTCCCCCACTCTGGCTGCCCTCAGGTGAGCCCCCCGTTGTGGCCACCCTCTAAGTGAGTCCCCTGTTCCAGCCGCCCTCCGGGCCAGCCCCGCACCAGTTGCTCTTCCAGGTGTGCCGCACGTCGGTGTCATGGATGCTGTGCCTATCCGCCTGCTCGTCCAGGAAGTCAAACATGTACTTGATGGCCAGAGGCAGGGCACTGCCCCGGTGCACTGTGCTGAACAGGGTCTCGAACAGGTCATCCACGAACTTCTGCAGCGTGCCCTGGGGCGAAGCGTGAGGGCTCTGACTCCACCTGCCCAAGTCCACCTGGGGCCTGTCTGGGGCCGGCGGGGGCTCCAACGCTGGACAAGCCCCTTCTGGCCACTCGCGCCACAGGGCACAGGGGGGCTGGTGGCCGCAGACACGAGGGAGGGGTCTGTGGACCAAGCCTGGTGCCCCCGGCAGGAGGGCCTTCACTCAGGCCCAGGGGGACGGCTCGCCCCGACGCAGCCCTGCTTACGTCCATCTTTGGGGGAGAGACCGGGGCAGCAGGGGCTCCCGGGTGGGGACATGGCCCCGGTCTCTCCCCCGGGGGCCAGAAAGTGGGTGGGGCACGGCTGGGGTGGGGACCACAGCGGCCAGGCTGGGCGCTACCTTGGTGGCCAGCAGCCGGGTCAGGTAGATCTCAGACACCATCTTGCTGCCCCGGTCGCCCTCCTTCTGGTCCCCGTGCTCATGGTTCTTCACCAGGTGCCACACCTTGAGCCCACTGTCCAGGTCGGGCGTGATCATGGGCGCACGGGAGCGCAGGCTGTCGGGGCTGCCCGTGTACCTGAAGGAGGAGTCTGGGGTGCGAGGCTGTGAGTGGCAGGCCCCGCCCTTCGGGAGGAGGCCCTAGGTGCCCCCCCACACCCCGTACCCGCTGCGCTCACTAGGGGGATGCGCCTCAGTTGGAAGGATGCCCTGGACCTCGCCTTGGGGGGGCCATTTAGGGTTCCATGGGTGGTGTGCGGATAATCAAGCTTTTTCATAAAAAGAAGATTTGGAAATTCTGGGAGCTCGGGGGACCCTGGGGATCCCGATGCTTCCGGCTGAGGGCAGTCAGTGTGGTCACAGGGCTCCAGCACAGATCCAGGTTCTGTAGGGTGTGTGACACTCCCAGGGACCCCTGGCGCCGGCACCCCCGCTCCCTGCCCACCACAGCCCTGGTCCTGGCGCTCACCATATCTGCTGATGGATGTCCGGGAGATGCTGGCGGAGGCAGGGATGTTGTAGGACGAGGTCTGCTTGGGGACCAGGGCTACCACGGACCTGTCTGACACCTGGGGGGCACATGGTGGTGAGGCCGCACCCAGAGCCCTGAGCTCACCAGTACCCCCTGGACTGGAGGGTGCCCCCGCTTGCATCTAGGACACACTGACACCGGCTCGCCCCGTGGCCCAGGGCCACAGCCACATTAGTCCCGAGTGGGGGCGGCCATTCCTTCCAAACTATTGGGTCAATTAAACATCTGCCTTCCTCTGTGTGATTCCCTTTGAGGTGTGACCAGAACATCTAACCAGCCCATGCCTTGGAGTCCCAGGCAGTGCCCTGCAACCTGTGAGAGTCGCTGGCCCCCACGCCAGGGGAGCATGTAGACGGTCTCCATGGTAGCCCAAGTCTCGGCTGGAGCCCGGTTCCCACAAGGACCGGCTGCCCCGGGACGGCCTTTCTGGGACTTCAGCTCATGTCGCCCTGGTCTGCAGCTGCTCTACCCCGGCCTGAGCCTGCTGCCCCGGTCCACCAGAGGAACCCCCCAAGGGCAGCCACTGTCCGGCCAGAGGGGTGTGTCAGCTGCCCTGTGAAGCCGCCGGCCACAGGGAAAGGCTGGCACCAGGAGCCCTGCTGTAGGCCTTTGGAGCCAGTCCAGGTAAGCTTGCCCGCTGTCCAGTCCAAATGGAGACCCCGGATTCCTGGCCATTCTATTAAACATCCAGCACAGAGGGATGAGGCAGCTATAATAATGTTATGGGCCATAAAACATTCCTATTAAACCGTTCTTTACTTTAACAATTTTTATGAACTTTATCAGTTTGATTTATAGCTGCACGAACCGTAAAACCATCTTTCTGGGTTTTAAATTGTCAGCCCCTCTCTCCCACCAAAAAGGAATTAAACTTTGGGAAGTCAAACCATAAATGAGCATTAGCACTAACGAGATTCCCCGACAACGGCTCCGTGGTTATGTTTAATTTCGCCCTCCCTATAAATCTGAGGTTTTTAATATCTTTGTTAATTAAGATAATGCAGATTTTCTCCTGCGGGGACTCCAGGGGCCTCTGACCCGGGTGGGTCAAGGGCATTGCCTGGGTTGGAGGTGGGGAGTGCAAGGAGCCTGCAGGCCCAGGGGTCCCCGGCCTTGGCCAGGTCCAGGGCACATCTCAGCTCCCCGCTGCGAACCTGCAAGCAGCTACTTGAGAGCCGGGAGATGCAGCCCTGCTCCAGGAAGAAGAGGGCACTGGCCATGAGCACAGCCTGGCCACTGCAGGCTGGATCCCCGCAGTCCTGGCCAAGGGCTAGCGGCTTGTCAGGGTGGTGCCTCAAGGCTGCCACGTTTCTCTGGGTTGGCCATGGGCCCTTGACCTATGGTGCAGGTCAGTGAGCAGGGAGAGGCTACCCTGCCCAGGCCCTCACTCTGCTGGTCTCTGCCCAGTCCTGCACCGTGGGGTGGGGTGGGGTGGGGGCGCAGGGGAGGGTGGCCAGGGCTGCTGTGCGCACTGTGCAGGTGACCTAACCGAGGTCACACCAGCGAGGTCACACCAGCGAGGTCCTCGCCCCACCCCCACTCGGGCCATCCTGGGGCCCGGGTGTTAGATGTGAGTACAGGCCGGGGTGGGGGCAGAGTTTGGAGGGGTACTTGGGGGGGGCCAGGCTTCCTCTCTGCCCTGGGAGACTCCAGCCACTACCTGGGCCTTCAGGCCCAGCACGGCCTTTCCCATGGCTGTGGCCGCAGGGCCGGGGCTCCCTGGGGCTCTGAGGGCAGCACAGCCAAGAAAATCTTCTCCAGGCCCGAGGGCAGGAAAGGGGCAAGAGACCACTTTTAGGCTTCGAGGTTGAGTTGCCCTGGAGGGAAGGGGACATCCTGGGTGGTCAAAGTTAGCCCCCCTCACCTGGTAACACACCAGCAGCCCCTCACACACACCTGCAGGCCATCACCTGGTAAAGCATGCACTTGTGGCCCCTCACCTGGTAATGCACTTGCGGGCCCTCACCTGGTAACACACCTGCAGCCCCTCACCTGGTAATGCACCGGCAGGACCCTCACCTGGAACGCAACTGTGGGCCCTTACCTGGTAATGCACCAGCGTGTTGAGCCGCTTCCAGTCACCCTCGATCTTGGTGGTGACGTCCTCGTCCTGCAGCACGACCCGGGCAATGCGGCCCTGCCGCCACTCTGGAGGGGGTGCCGTGTTGGGGGGCTTCAGCCAGGGCACCTTGCCCCCCCTCCTCCAGGCAGCCCCCCTCAGGTGCAGGGTGCAGGCAGGACCCAGGCAGGGGTGCACGGGGGGTAGGGAGCAAGGGGGCCAGGCATGGCCCAGGCAGGGTGCACTGTGGGGTGGGGGACGGAGGGGGGGAGGCAGGGCCTGGGCACGGTGCATGGGAGGTAGGGGCCACGGGGGCAGGTAGAGCCTGGGTTGGGGGCATGGGGGACAGGCGGAGCCTGGGTAGGGGTGCACAATAGGGTGGGGGGTATGGGGGCAGGGGGGACCCAGGCAGGGGTGCATGGGGTGTGGAGGGGCATGGGTGCCGTGGACCAGCACAGCACATGGGGGTCAGGCAGGGTCTGGATGGGGGTGCATGGGGAGCAGGCGGGGCCCAGGTGAGGGTGCATGGGGGGTGGGGGCCATGGGGGAGCAGGCAGGGCCTAGGCAGTGTGCACTGAGGGGGCAGACAGGGTCCAGGAAGGGGTGCTCGGGGCAGGTGGGGCCCAGGTGGGATGCAGGCAGTAGGGTCTCCACCCTGACCACCCCCAGCCATGCCCAGCCGGGCACCTACCTAGGTCCATGTCCACGGCGCGGGGCCGCTGGGAGTGGGGCACATTCTTGTAGACGGCGTCCAGGATCTTTTCCTTGGCCTGCGTGATGGTGTCGCAGTTCAGCACCTTCACTGGGACCTCAGGGCTGTTCTCATTGTCAGGGTTGACGCAGTTCAGGATCTGCAGGGGGACAGCGCTGACGGCTGGGCCTGCCGCCAGCTGCCCACAGCCTACGCAGAAGCTACTCTGTCCCCAGGCCCAGCAGGGTGCCCTGGGTGGGTGGATGAGGGAGGGTGCTGGGCGGACCCTGCCTTCCTGCTAAGTTGTTCAGACGTACAGGGGTGCACCTTCCTCTGCCCAGCATTGCTTGTGGTAAACTGAGGCATAGGGTGCCCTCTGGGCTCCCTGGGGAGATGGGAGGGGAGCACATGCCCTTGGCCCTGCCCCGTGGACGCACGCTGTGGGCCCAGGGCGGGTGATCGGCCAGGGTGGGGCCTGCACTTGTGCTCACCAGTGTCTTGTAGTCAATCTGCTGGCGGATGAGCTTGTCCTCACTCAGCGAGTAGCGGGCCTCACCCGTAATGGCGTCGATGGGGCCCTTCTCCATCTGCTGCTTGATGGCGCAGTGCAGCATGAACAGTGGCTCCCCGGCGCACTCCTGCATGCAGGCGGGGGCGTGTGAGCCTGGAGCTTGGTGCCTCCCACTTGCTTGTCCCCTGCCAGGCTCCTCCTGCCCCCACTGACCTTCAGGAACTTGTGCAGGAGGAAGGCGAACCAGTTGGTGAGCATCTTCTCAGCCACAGACTCTGTCCTGGGGGAGGGAGGGGCTGCATGGAGGCATCCAGGGCTGAGGCAGTTCCTGCCTGCCAAGGTGGGGTGCCCTCTACCCTTCATGCAGGGCCAGGTGGGGCTGCCTCATTACTCCCTATGGCCCTTGGGGTGTCCGGGGAGCTGTGTCCAGGACATACCTGTCCCTGCCCCCAATGCCCTGAGTGCCCTATCATGGTGGAGCTGGCATGGGGCTGTGATCTTGGGCAGGATGTCTGACCCCCGGGCTCGGGATGTCCCACCCTGTCTGATGGCACCGTCCCCCACACATGGATGGGATGCCCAGAGGGGCGGACACCCTTGCATGGTAGTCGCCAGGAGGGTGACAGGAGAAGGGACTGGGGTCCTCCAGCCCCAGCCCCTCTCTGTGCTCCAGGTCAGACACTGGGCACTGCAGGAGCATCCACACTGTCCGGTGGGATGGGGCCAGGAGCCAGGCCCTCCTCCCTCCATGTACAACCACAAGGGCCTGGGGCCTGCGAGCTCCTGGGAGCAGCAGCGATGGCCTGGGTTGCTTCCAAGGGGTGGGGGGCTGGCGGTGGGGCTCAGCTTAGGGAGGGGTCACAGGAGGGGCTGGGGCGTCTGCAAGGGTCTGGTGAGTCACTGACAGGAAGGGGCACAGACAGGAAACCCCACAAATCCCAGCACATCCAACATACTAGGGTCTTTCAAGGGGTCCAGTGTGTGGGGCTAGACTGGGTCCTCCCCCACATTTCATCTCACTGAGGGGTGTGGGGCTACCAGCTGGACGGGCCACCCGGCGGGCCCAAGGTCACAACGGATGGAGGAGCGCTGGGTCCAGCCCACCAGCAGCAGGGATCCGCCCGCTCTGAGCGTGTGGACACAGGTGGGAGCATCAGGGAGCCTATCCCACCACCTTCACTCCCCGCTTGACCCCGCTTCCCCCCTCCCTGCCCTGCCCCTGTGCTCCCCTGCACCTCCTGAGCAACAGCTTCGGGTGGTTCCTGTTCTCCAGGTTCTTGTCAATAAGGTCAGCCAGCAGCTGCTTGAGCACATCCGTGGCATACTCTAAGCGGCCCTGCAGGCCAGTCATGATGAGCGAGGCCACGTTGCCACGGTCGCGCATGGAGAAGCTGCGCTGCAGCTCCAGCGTGCGAATGAAGGTCAGCAGGAACACCTTGTTGTTGACCAGCTGTGCAAAGAGCTTCAGAGCCTTCTCCACGTGTGGCTGTCCGTTCCCCTGCACCTGGGGACAGAGGGCAGGACGTCATAGCACAGGCCCCGCCCCTGGCCCGACCCCCTGCAGGACGCAGCCCAGCCTTACACAGTGACCTGCAGGCCCTGCCCCTGATCCTAACCCCCTCAGACTGCAGCCCCAACACAGCCCCACCCCTGTGTTCAGCCCCCCCACCCTGCAGGCCCAAGCTCTGCCCCTACAATGGGACAACAGGCACCCTCCCCTGCACCAGCCCCCCCACCCCACTCCACAGGCCACAGCCCCGCCTTGCACCCCAGCCCACCTGAGATGGGACCCACATGGCCTCTACCCCTGTGCCTGAGCCAATGCCTGCTGCACCCCCTGCGCCCTGGGGGCCCAGTGCTTGGCCCGCACCCCACCTGGGTCCCTGACAGGACATCCACTATAGCACCTTCCAGGGAGGCTGGTCCCTCCTGCCCCCACTGTGGTAAGGAGGATGGGGCTCTGCTCCTCACAGGAGCCATAGGGGCTCATTGCCATGCCCAGTAGGAGACCCCAGGGACCTGCTGGGCCCACCACCGCCGCCCTGTGCCCTGACACCCCCCAGTGCTCTCAGAGCCGCCTCCGCCTGCCCGCCCCACGAAGAAGGGACAGAGCCTGCTGATTAGCGCTGTGGTTTGGCCCAGAGTTCCTCGGGGTCAGGGGTGCCTGTGAGCCTGAGGGGCGTCCTGACCAGGACTGCGGGCCCCCCTGCAGGCACAGCAGCAACTGACCTCCAGCTCCCGCAGCACTGGGTGGTCCTCGATGCCCGGGAAGAGCACGCGCATGGCGTAGGTGCGGTACTCCAGGTAGGGGATGCCGGCACGGTCCAGGTCGCTGGTCAGCTCATTGATGTCTGTCTGGAGCTCGGCAAAGGCTGGGAGTGAGGAGGGCGGGCGGTCAGCGGGCGTGTGGCAGAGGGGATGTGGGGGGGTCAGACGGCCTCCCGAGGAGGAGTCCGGTCCTGTGCATATGCCTCGGGGACATGGGACCAACCCCGTGGGTGCCACTCGGCCTGGGAACACTGTGGTCAAGGCACAGGGAGGGGAAGGTGGCCTGGGGATGCCGTGGTCAAGGCGCAGGCACTGGGGGAGGGGGATGGGGCGGCCTGGGCACTGCGTGGGACCCGAGGGCCGCTGGCCACCCACTGGCCACCTGGGTGTCCCTGAGGGAGGGACAGCAGGAACCGAGTCAGGCGCCGCCCCTGGTGTGAGGTCAACTGCGGTGGCCGAAGCAGCACAGTGGGGCCATCCCAACAACAGGACATTACTCAGCCCTACGAAGGGGGCCTCGACATCTGCCGCAGTGGGGTGACCTGGTGGACTCAGGCTCAGAGAGGACAGCAAAGGGCAGAGGCCAGTCGTCTTCTCGGCTTGCCCTCAACAGCGGATCAGCCGCAGCAGCTGGCCATGAGGGGTGGGGCCACTGCTCCATAAGGACAGAGCCCGCCGCGGCAGGTGGGCAGCAACTCTGGAATGGATGGGGGCGGGCAGCAGCTCTGGAGTGGATGGGCTGTGGTGGCTGCAGGGGGCCTGAGCAGACTCAGTGCCGCTCCCTGAGGAAGGCCCTGGGTGAGGAGCCCGAGGTCTGGGTGTTTCACACGAGTGGGACAGAACTGAGCACAGAGCCAGGGCTCTGAGCTGATGGCCGGGTCCCTGGGCACAGCCCACCCAGTGGGCCCCTCACTGTCCTCATGGGCCACCCAGCCGCACATTTGCAGCTGAGTGACACGGGGTCCTGACTGAGATGTGTACCCCGAGGGCCCCACGGCCTACCGCTGAAGGGGCACAGGCACACCTATCTCCTAGCGGCCATGGTTTTGTGGGAGGCAGGAGTCCCCATTCCATCCTGGACAAGGACGCTGGCTGGCAGGGGCCTTCAGAATAGTCGGCTGCTGCCACAGCGGGGCCATCTGGGGCGGGGCAGGGCACGCTCACCCTCCTTGCACTCCAGGGCCACGCGGGACTCTAGGCTGTCCATCTGCATCTGCAGCCGCTTCAGCGTGAGGTCGTTCTCCCGGGACTTGCGCTTGTAGGCGATGAGGACCAGCACAACGATGACCAGCAGGAGGCTGCCGCCGGCAGCAATGCTCACGATGGCAGGCAGCGTCAGCAGGCTGTCGGGGGCCACGCTCACGGAGCCAGGCGAGAACACCAAGCCACCCACGTGCACCTGCGGCACAGCCAAGACTCAGGATGGGCACTGCCTGCACAGCGCCTGAGACCCCGCCCCCGCCACAGCACACTCCCCTCCCCAGGCACCTGAGCCCCCTGTAGCCCCTCAGACCCCCATGCTTAGTGAGCACCCCCACTGCTTGAGCTCCCCACGGCACCTGAGCCCCCCGCAGGGCCAGGGCGCTCACCATGACCTTGTGCTGCCCGGTGAGGCTGGGGGGCTCGCAGAGCAGCTGAGTCTCAGACACGGTGACAGTGCAGGGTGTGTCCCCGACCAGCACAGTGTAGTTAAGCTTGGCACCCCCGGTGGCTGGCGGGCAGAGGTTCTTGCCCTGGGGACATGGAGTGGGGTGACTGGAGGGCCCGGAGGAGATGCTGGGCGAGCTTTGGGGAGCCTTCAGCCAGTCCCCACAGGCAGAGAGGGCACAGGAAGGGGGAGAGGAAGGCAGGGGGAAGCGGGCCAGGGGGACAGGTGCCATGTGGACACTGGGGAAGGGGCCGGCAGGGGGCAAGTGCCACCGAGGGTCCAGGCCACACCAGGCCGGGGGGTGAGTAGGGGCCAGCAGGGCCTTGGGAGCCATGTGCACAGATGGCCAAGAGAGGGCCCTGGCAGCACCCACCTTCAGGATGATGGGGGACCCTGGCTTCTGATCCAGCACGCCCGTTGGGCTGAGCAGCTCGAAGGTGGGGTTGGGGTAGTAGATGAACTTTGTGCCGTTGTACACAAGCAGGGACTGAACGTTGTTGAACACAAAGCCAAACTCCTCGGGCTCCACAGCATCCAAGCCAGCCCGGTGGTCCGTAGTCAGGGAGGGTGCCAGGCAGGTCAGGGTGGTGGTGTTTACAACCCTGCAGACCTGGAGGGCCAGGATCAGGGCTCCCACTGGCCCCAGGTGCCCCAACCCTCCTGCTGACCCTGGGAACCCCACCCCTCCCAGCCCTGGCCACTGCCTGGGGTCCTTGCTGATGGTGAGCCAGGGTGGGGCTCCTGGTGACCAGGCAGCCCAGGCAGGGCAGCAGGGACCGGCCACAGGACTGAGGCTGCTGTCACCATGGCGCAGCCCCGGGTGGGTACTCACGTTGACAGACTCCCTGCCATTGAACTTCACGCGGATCCTGGGCTCCTGGATGATATCCAGGTTGAAGCCGGTGATAGTCAGGGGTGTGTGGCCGCTGGGACAAGAAGAGGCCGGGTCAGGGCCACCCTAACCTGGGGTAACTGGGGACACCAGCTCTGGTGCGGGGCGGCCTCACCTGGCGATGCTCCACTCTGGCTCCACCCGCTGCACCCGCGGGTCATCAATGTACTCGAACTGCAGGCTGCTGTCCACGCGGGCGCGGTCTACGCTCACGGACACAGACACGGCGCCCAGGCCTATGGCCGACGGGGGCGAGACGCACACGATCTCGCTCATTGACCGCCTGACGGGGGGAGCAGGAGCTGGTGAGGGATTGTGGCCAAGGGGAGCTTGAGGGGGTCCGGGGTGGGCCCAGAGTGCCCTGCCCTCAGATTCCCAGCCCGGTCAACCCCTGCAGGTGCACTGAGTCCCCGCTGAGCTGGGGGAGCAGGCCCTGGGCTTTGGGGAGCCCTCTGGCAGTCTCTAGAATATGACTTTAGCTTGGAGTCTGCTTAGTGAAAAGTGTCAGGTGACCACTGCAGGAAGATCCACAGGGCCCTGATGTGATGGGGGCCCAAAGCGGTAAGGGGGCCCAACGCTGTGAGGGGGGGCCCAACGTGGTGACAAGGGGGTCCCCAACGTGGTGACAGGCCCTGACGTGGTGATAGCCCAGCAGTGATGTCTATCTGGGGCCCCAGGGTCTCTCAGCCCAGGTTCTGCTACATACGAGTCCAGCCCAAGACCCTGCACCACGATGACAGGTGGCCGAGGCGGGCACTGGCCCAAGGGGAGTTTGAGTGAGCTGTACACACACAACCTGGTGCCCCGCACGCGTGCACACACACACGAGCACATGCACACACGCATGTGCACACACACTATACGTACGTGCACACTCACCCATAGAATTCGCAGGTCTGGTTGCCCAGGTGCACGGCCACGCTGCTCCCGGCCCCCAGGTAGTGCCCAGTGATGGTGACCATGGTGCCGCCAGACTCTGGCCCGCGAATGGGGGCAAGTGAGAGAACGGACGGGGTCTGGGGGCACAGAGACGGGTCGGCCGGGCCGGCCGGGGTGGGCCTGGCTGCAGGGGGAGGGCTTCTTGCCTTGGTCCAGGTGCCCTCCCCGCCCCAACCTTCAACTCCATCCCCATCCCTGACACCCCCACCCCGGCCTGTCACACCTACCACTATCCCCTCCACAAGACCATAGACCCCGCCCCAGGACACCGCCCCCCCTTGCTGCCAGGCTCGTCTGCCCTGGAACTGAGCCCCACAGGTGGCTGCCCAGTGGACAGGAGGCGGCCAGGAGGGCATGTCTGTGTGGAATTCACAGTCTCCCCAGGGAGTCTGGTGTCTCAGCTGGTGGGAGGGCCATGGCGACACTGACTAATCTATCAATTAGTTTACAAATTGAGAGCAATTTGAAAACACCTCTCCATACAGGCTACACTGATTTTTTTTGACACAAAATCGATAGGACTGAATCCGGCGTTCCCTCCAGATGGGCCTCCGGAAGGCTGCTGTCTGTCATTATGAACAGGCCCTCCCCGTGGCAGGCAGCCCCCTGAGGCCTGAGGCTGGGCCGCATCCCCTGCCAGGACCCTGGCTGATGTGCAAGCCCCATCCTGCCTCGGAAGGCCCCACCTCGGAGGCCCTGCCTCTGGCCCTCCAGGGCGGCTGCGTGCACTGGGCCTGGGGGCCTCGGCCTCCTACTCCCCAGCGCCCACGGCCACTGGCAGCTTCCACCTGCAGGAGGCGGGGCAGCGGGGGCAGTTGGACCACAGGCCAGGGCCACTGCAGAGTGAGCCACCCCCGCCACGTCCCTGGGGAAACATGACTGCATGTCCCCTAGGCACATGGGGCCTCCTCTCCTGTGGGGCTGCTGCTGGCTCTGCCTGTCAACCCCCACAGCGGGGCCTGCCCGGCCGCCACTCACCACAAAGGAGAACTGCTGGTGGGACCTGGCTGTGAACTCGGGCTTGCACTCGCCGACACACAGGTGCACAGGCCCTGCGCTGGTGCCCCCCGGGGCACGGCTCATCTCGCAGACGATCCTAGTGTGCAAAGCAGGGGCCTGAGCAGAGGTGGTGGTGGGGGGGCCCTCATGGGGTGACAGTGAAAGGGGCTGTCCCTGCCTGGGCTTCAGCCACTCCCCCAGAGTGGACAAGCCCCTGCCCCTGGCTGGAGCCTGAGTGCAGGGCCGCCTGGGCAGGTGCCGGCTAGGGGTCCGGGGCTGAGGACAGGCGGTGGCAGCACCCTGGCTGGGACCTTGGGGTTCCGTGCTCATTCCAGGAGTTTAAAGAGGGCACAAGAAAAGGGGGCAGGGAATGTGTACTCCCAGACTCCGATGGGGTCACGGGACCCACGACGGAGGCCGGATGCCTCTCAGCAAGCCCTGCAGGGGAGGGACCCGCACCCCACAGTGAGAATGGATGCCCAGCTGGGGCCACCTGCCACAGAGCCTCCAGAGGCAAAAGAGGCTGGGTGGGCAGGGGCGCTGCCCTCCCCAGCAGGCAACCCGGACCCCAGATTGGGCCGCTCAGCAGGCCTGCAGGCAGGCAGGGGCGGGCACAGACCTGCTCCTGTCATCAGGCCTTGAGAGGACCCCACTGGCCCTCTGGTTTCCCGGACAGCTCCACAGCCAACGCCTCCAAGTGGCGGATCCGACAAGCACCCCAGCCGTGGGATCTACTTGTGGCGCAGGGGTTGCAGTGAGGGCCCAGGGGTTCCCACGCCCACGGAGCCTGCACCCTCTGCTCCATGGGCACGCGAGTTAATCGCGATCTGGGGGAGACACAGTGATGCCCCTGGAGCTCGCGAGCGGGCATCTGAGGTCGGGTTGGCCTCCCTGCGGACACCCCCATCCCAGGCATCCCTGGCAGCGAGTCCTCCAGACTCTGGGGCTCTCCTGGCACTCAGGGACAGGGAGCAGAGGCCACTATGCTCAGCAGGAGGCGGCCCTGGGCCGCCAGGATAGGCCCCAGACCCGCCCCCCACGGGCACTGAGGCACCCCCCACGGGCACCAAGTCAGGACCGAGGCTGGGCTTGTGGTGGGACGGCTGCAGAGACAGTTGGGTGCTGTCACCTCTCCGCGGCCAGCGTCCCCTTGCTCCTCTGGGGCAGGGGAGCACTCCATGTCCTGGGATGGGGCCTGAGCAGGGGCTTGGCAGCAACCTGGGGAGGAGGACGGGGCCCCGGGGCCCAGGGCAGTTCATGCAGGGTGACTTCTGGGTCTGTCTCTGGGCTCCCCATTCTCCCCACACCTGCTGCATGAGGTGGTGCAGCTCTGATGTCCATGGCTCAGCTTGGCCTGGTCAGAGGGCTTCTGGACACGCTGGTGACCCAAAAAGCTCCCAGGCTGCGTTCTGCACTTTGGCCCCAAGACTGTGAGAGACTGTGATGTGCTCCCAACCCCATCTACCCCCAGGCAGCATCTGAGAACAGAGCCACACCAGCCCGCACTGTCCACGCTCCAGCCTGCTGTCCAGCACGTTGTGCCTGGCATGGCCGAGGTCAGTGGTGCAGATGTGTGGGACACTGGATGCCCACGCAGAGCCCGTGTCCAGAGGGCCTCACCACCACCTGGACCAAGGTGGATGGTGGGGAGGGCAGCAAGCCGCAGCCATGGTGTGGGGGTCCCGCGAGGTGGCACCTGAGCTTGGGGCCAGGTAGAGGCCCTGTGGTCACTGAGGTCACTGACTCAGGGACATGCGCCTGGTTTGTGGGGGCCAGGGCGTGTCTGGGGTGCCATGCTGTCCTGGGGATACCCTCGCTCCTTTCCCAGCCTCGAGTCTGGTCTCCCCAGCCCATTGCTCCCCGTGGCCTGGGACAAGCGTCCACACTAGACTCCAAGGGCCTCACGCTATTTCCACTGTCCATCTCCCAAATGGCCCCCCAACTTGGCCGTGGGGCTGTGAGAACTGCAGGTGACCCCTCCCTGCAGCGTCCAGCTCCTCCTCTTCTGGGAGCCAGGCTGGTCCTCGGGACTCCCTGCCGAGGCAGTCAGGACCTGGGGCCTGAGGCTGGGCCAGTGCCACCTCCTCCACCTGCCTTTGGCCCAGGGCTGTCCCTCTGGCCAGCCACCCAGCACACGCTGGGGACATGGGATCTCTGGTGCTAGGGCCTGCCCACCTCCCCAGGGCTGATTCTGGTTCCCGTACCCTGAGAGCTGGGTCAGCCCTTGGCATCTGAGCCTGTCCAGCCCCACCGGCAGTTGCCACAGTGACAGCGGCCAGTGCCGACTGGGTCTTATGATCAGAGACGAGGTCACGGGTGGATAGAAAGTGCGAGGGGCACAAAGGGCAGCCGCTTGCGGGCAGAGGGGCCGGAGCCTGCGGCCAGCCTGGCCCAGCTGTCCTCAGTGGAGGTCGCCAAGCTCAGGACGAGCAAGGGGGCTGGCTACTGGCTCCTCTCCAGTCCCCGTCCTCCTGCCCACTGGCAGCTCCACAGCAGCCAGATGAACACCCCAAATTGGAACATATGTCACAAGCCCGCCTGCAGCCCACACTCCGCGCCTGCCTCTAACTTGCAGCAACGTCTCCCTCGGTGAGATAAATAGATTTGTGCCGGTAGAGGCCCTGCTGGATTAAGCTGCCATCAGAGTCCCAGAAGCCAAACAAATTGCTGCCCGCAGCAGCGTGCACACCGCGGGATGAGGGGAGGGGCCAGCCGCGGCAGGTGGAGACCAGCGTGGGCTGGGCTGCAGGCCTGGGGTGGCGACTCACCGCTCGGCCACGACATAGTCCCCGGGCAGGGGTGTGCAGGGCACCCCGGCCACCTGCACATGCTGGGCGATCTCGGCGAAGGCCAGGCCGAGGTTCACACCGCGGATGGTCACTCGCGTCCCTCCTTCTGGAGGCCCCGACACCGTTAGAATCTGAGGGAGAGAGAGAGTCAGCATCCAGCTCACACCCCAGATTGTGTGCGAGCATGCGGCCCCAGCGGGCATCTACATGGCCAGCTCTCCCCACAGCCTGCCCCCTGCCTGGCCATACTGGACACCTGTGTGTGCAGCATGGCTGGCACAGGGCCGAGCAGACACAGGGCCCAGGCCCACGCAGCCTCCCCAACCTCCCCAGACCCTGAGATGGGATGGCCCCACGGCCCCTGGGCTCAGCCCTGTTCTCATGGGGCCACCACACGAAGGGCGGATGGCAGGGACGGCAGAGGCGTGAGCAGGTGGGCGGGGAAATCAGGACAACTTGGGAATCTGGACCTAGAGGAGCCTGGACTGGGCCCCCAGGGCAGGGAATGGGGTGCAGACTGAGGGTGGGGGCCAGGGCCCTGGCCAGGGGCTGTGATTAGGTTGCTGCGGGATGAAAGGGGCCGGCCCTGTTCTTGGCCTTGTTCTGCAAAACTGCCCACAGGTCTGCTGAGCCAGGCAGACACAGCTGTGTACCCGCAGGCTCTGGTCAGCAAAGACCTTTATCTTTTAATTTCTTTACGCAGGGTCCGGAGGCTAGGAAAGGCCGAGTCGGGCCCCAGGATACTCCAACCCAGCCTAGGGCATGGAAGTGCCACCCGGGGCTGGACACGGGCAGGGAAGGTAGAGCTTAGGCCACCTCTTGGAGTGGGTGGGCTCAGGGCCCACGGCCGTCCCTCAGGTGCAGCACAGCGCGGCCCCTGAAAGGAAGGGCACATGCCTGCTCTCGGCCACAAGAATGGAGAGGTGGGGAGTGGAGCCGCCCTGCCGAGACCCCAGCACTCCACACAGGCCTGCAGGACTGCTGATCTGGAGACCCCACCTGTCCTCGCTACGGGTCAGGAGTCCCCCCAAACTGTGGGTAAGGATAGATGGGGACGGGTCCCGGCTCAGGGAGTGGGCGGCCCAGCCAGGCCGCCCCAAGCTCTTGGCTTCCTACCCTCTGCTGCGGGCCTGGGGGCCCTCTCCACCCTCCCACTTTCCTGCCCCCCTCCTCTCCCCTCCCGGGTCTGCTCAGCTGGCTCACTTCACCCCGGTCACCTGGCTGGGGTTGATTCCCTTTTCTGGGAGTGAAATGTCCCCCAATGAATAAAAATTAACAACATTCATGGAACTAATCTAGGTGGGCAGCTGAGGGGCTTATGTACTCAGGGGAGGCTGCGGGCCAGAGAGGAGGGAGTGGCTGGCCCAGCTGTCCTGGTCCAGGGTTCTGAGATGACCACTCCCCTGTGCCCCCCCAAGCCCCCGGTAACCTCCGGGCTCTGGGATCCTGGTTGAGCAGAAGCAGGGCCTGGGTGCCCCCAGCCGCCTACTGCAGGACCTCAGGGCCCCGGTGCCTCGGGCCCTGGCTCGCTCTCCTCCCCCCTTTTATTTTTAAAGCCACATTCTCGCACTCACTACAGTTAATTACAACCTTTCAGAAAAACTGTGAAATGAAATCTTTCTGGAAAGCCTAAAAATACTTTGTCTTGCAGGTAGCGGGGGCCGGTGGGGGGGGGGGGCGGGGACGGAACCTGCAGGTTCCTATCGCTGTGAGTCGCAGATGCCTGCCCCTCTGCTGCTGCTGTGGGCTCAAGGGGTTGCTCCAGAGGCCGGCAGGCCAGGGAGCGCTCTTGGTGCCACCTGCCATTCTGAGGAGGAAAACCTCTCACCGTCTCGGAGTGAAGGGGGCCCCAGATGTCATGGGGCGTAGAGGCCCCGGCTGCCTGGCCGTTACGGTCACAGGGACCATGCCCGCCACTCAGGCCCCGCGGGCTGCAGGGAGACACTGGGGCATGTGCTGCAGCCAGCCCTCCCGCTGGCATTGCCCGCTGAGCCACCATAGGGGACAGTGGCCAGGCTAACCCCATTGGGCCATGTGGGCCAGCAGCGAGCCTCCCGCCTGCGCTATCTCCACGCAGCGCCTCGCCCAAGAGGGCGGCCAGTCCTCAGTCCTTTGGGTGGGCCACCTGGGGCTGGCTTTCAGGGAGGTGGGTGGGCCTCTCTGACCAGCTATCAGCACCCCAGAGGCTCACAGCCGGGAAAGGGGTCCTGAGAGCCACCAGATAGCCTGGGTCTGCTGGCAGCCCTGAGGGTCACACCTTCTACGGGAAGGACCTGAGGTCTCCCCAGCAGCCCCCAGCGGGACCCGCCAGGCAGAAGCACTTTGAGGAGACGGTGACTGCCCCCCTCCCACGCCACGGGCAAAGCCAAGTCCTGCCTGCAGTTCTGCTGCCTGCGCCCACGCTGGTCAGGGGCCCAGAGCCCAGGATGGGCAGCGTCCCTTCCCTTCTGCGTGAGCTTGTGAACACAAGTGAGCCTATGCACTGGGAGTGCACATGCATGTGCATATGCATGCCTGTGTGTGCACACAGGGGTGTGGATGCATCCGTGTGTGCAGGTGTGTGCATGTGTGTGTGCAGGCATCTGTGGGTGTGTACAAGCATGTGCGGGTGTGTGGGTGTCCATGTGCAGGCATGTGTGCATGGGTGTGCACAGGTATGCGTGTGCACGTGCGTGTACATGCATGTATGGGTTGTGCATGTGTGCAGGTGTATCCCTGTGCAGGCATGTGTGTGCGGTCATGTGCAGTGTGCACGTGCAGGTGTGTGCAGTGTGTGGGTCTGTCCACATGTAGGCGTGTGCGCTGGTGGGCATGTGTGCAGGTGCATGCACATTTATGTGTGTGCACATGTGTGCATGTCCCCATGTGGGTATGTGTGTGTGTAGGTGTGTGCATGTGAAGGCATGTAGCAGCTTGCACGGGTGGGTGGCAGTGGCAGCGGTGGCCTTGGTGGGCAGGGGCAGGGACAAGGCAGGGGCAGGGCTCTCCACAGCAGCATCTGTCCAGCTCCAGGTGCAACACAACACGCTGCTCTCCCTCCTGACCTGGTCACTTGTGCATTGACGTCCCGCTAACGAGGATGTAAACAAACCAACGGGCGCAGGGCACACACCAACCTTCCCCCCCCAGGCTGGCCGAATCCTCTGCCCATAGGTTGGGGCCTAGGCCCTGGCCCTGGGCAGGGTCCAGCGGTCTTTCCTGTGGGTCAGCTTGGCCGCCCGACGAGCACGGGTTTGTCCTGGGCAGCTTCCCAGCACTGGTGGCTCAAGGACATGGAGGGAGGTCTCTGCTGGTCCAGTGAAAGCAGCAGGGAGGCTCTGGGCCCACGGGCCGCCCCCACACCGTCTGCACCCCTGCGCCCCTCCTGCTCCCCTCTGATAGCTGCAGTCGATCAGCGGGTTCCTTCCCCTGATCATGAAGACTCGGGCCCGCAGCTGGCGGCAGGTGAGGACGAGTGGAGGTGACAGGGCGGACAGAGCTGGGGAAGGCGGCCTTGCGCACACACAGGGTCTCCTGTGGGCTGCCAAGGGCACCACTCCCCTGTCCTCCCCCTTGGGGTGGCTGATCTGGCTCTCAGGCTGGCGGGGAGGTGGAGCCCGGCTGGCGGGGAGGTGGAGCCCAGCTGCGTGGCCATCGAGCACCTCCAGTGACGCCTCATGGGGCCGGCAGAAATGCAGGCACATAGCAGGAGGCCTAGCCCTCACCGGCTCCACCCAGCACCAGCGGGACACTGTGCATACGCGCCTTGGCGCCCCACGGGGGCACCCGACACAGTCAGCTCGGCCAGAGCCATTGTGAGCCGCCTAGGGTGTGGAGGCCAGGGTGGCTGTCGGTCCGTGGGTCCCCTCACCCTGAGGGGTGGCGCCGGTCATGGGAGCCCCATGATGAAGGGGGCCGGAGTGCAAAGACACCGTCCCCTCCCTGCCTGCTGCATCTCTGTCTGGTCAACGACAGCCGAGGTTCTCAGTTATTCTTCAGGGACAGTCTGGGCTCCTCAGGGTCCACTTCCCAGCTCAGCTGCCCCGGTCTGGCCCCCGACACACACCGGCTGTGGCCACGGCACTGCTGCCCAACTGGCCACGGCAAGAAGAACTGCTGGGGCCGCTGAGACCCATGACCCGCCCAGCACAGCCCAGCCGGGACCGCGGGGCCGGACCAGGGTGGGTCCACCACGCCGTGTCCACCTGGACGGGCATCGCTGGTGGTGAAGGGCTCAGTCACTGCCAGGGCCACGTGACGCCTGGTTTCATAACAGTGCTACGTTGTGTAAGAAGCTAATTTTGGAGGACCTGGGTGAAGGGGATATGAAAGTTCTTTGTACTATTTTTGTACCTTTTTCTAAGTCTGCAATTAATTCAGCAATAAAAAGTTTAAAAGACTGGAAAGGACATTTCGGAGATGGGAGGGGAGCAGGGGCAGGCCCCACAGGCTGCAGGACACCCCACTTCTGCAGGGGACCCGCAGCCCCCTCGCCTGTCCCGCTGGACCTCGGCCACCTGGACTGGCACAGAGTTGCCCCCCCGAACCCACTTTCACCCCAAGCCTCTCCGGAAAAGCAGTGACAGTGGACCACCCTGATTTTCCCCAACACCTCAGGGGTGCAGATGCACCATGAAGCTGGGTCCCACACCAGCAGCCATGGGCCCAGGCTGGCCAGCCGGCAGCCAGCCCAAGCCCCTGGGTGGGGCCGGCAGGGTAGGGACCAGGCTACCTGAGCAGGCACGGAGGGAGGCTGGTTTCAGCACCTGTCCACAGCAGCAGAGCTGTGGCAAGAAAGCCAGAGAAGGTTCCAGGCCGGACTGATGGAGCAGTAGGACCAGCACCGCCGGGCAGGTCGCAGCCTCCTGCCTAGGCGCCGGGCGTGGGGCACAGCCGGGCTTGCGGGAGGGGTGGCCCGACTTCGGGGCAGTGTCGGCCCTCATGCCCCACTGTCCACCCAGCACCCCCATGCCTCAAAGCCCGCCCAGCATCTCCACTGCCCACCCAGTGCTCCCATCGCTCACCTGGCACCCCCACACCCCACAGCCCACTCGGCACCCCCACTGCCTGCCTAGCACCCCACAGCCCACCCGGCGGCCCCACAGCCAGCTTGGCGCTGTCCATGCTGCCCTGCCCTGTGCGCAGCAGGCTCATCTGCCCCCCAGTCCTCTGCCCGCTGGGAGCAGCAGGGCCCCGGGTTCCAGGGTAGCAGGTGGTCGTCTGAGTGCAAACCCGGTGTGGCTGCTGCGCATGAGTGGGTGTGGGCCTGTCCCTGCAGGACTCCGCCGGCTCTGCTGTCTGGAAGGGTGCGCACTCTCCCACTGAGGGCACCCGCCTCCCCTTGGGCCACCTCCAGGGTCTCCTCCTGTGGGCTCAGGACACTCCCGGAGTTACCCAGCCAGGGACGGCCAAAGCCAGAGCGAAGGTGTGGGGGGCAGCTTTACCCCGCATCCCCGCAACTGCCCAGGCCCTAGCGGCCGTTGGTGACAGGGCAGTGGGCATGACCGGCGCTGAGTGGCCTCGGGGCCCCAGCGTCAGTGCCTGCAGCTGTCCCCTGGCTGCCCATCGTGCTCAGTGGCCTGTGCTTCAGCAGACACGCTCTTGGGGCGCTCTTATGCTTCTTCCTGTGACCACAAGGGCAGAGGCGCCCTGAGGGCAGCGCGGTCACCCCTCTCCCCGCTTTGCAGCCAGGGTCATCGCAGCCCCTGGGCCCCAGACCTGCCAGGAACACTCAGCCACCCAGAAGTGTCCACTCACATGGAGCCAACCCTCGTCCTGCTCTGGGGATGCCCCATGGCGACCTGGCTCTGCCCCTAGGATGCTCCAACTGGCCTTGTCCTCATGCCTGGCCCCATCCCTCCACCGGGCTGCATCCCATAGAAGATGGTGCTATTCCAGGGTGCTCCACACACCCCCACCTGCCCTGGGCCCCCCGGCTTACCTCTGTGATCTGGGGGTGGGAACACTTGACGTCGCGGCTGGACCAGTCGAGCCAGGGCCCCGAGGGTCCAGGGCAATGCGGTCGCAGGGTGCACCTGCGCTCCCCACCACACCAGCCACACTGGAACTTGCGGTCGGCCTTGAGGCAGAGGCCGCAGCTTTCCCGCTGGGCAGCGCACTTATACAGGTGGACTGCAGGGAGAGGTGCGGGACTCAGGGGTCCGCACGGCCCCCCCAACTCCCAGGCACGCTGGGAGTTGCCCCAACGGGCCCATGATGGCAGAGCTTGGATCAGGCCAGCCCTCACAAGACCAAGGCTGTCACTGCGGGGAGCGGACAGAGCTGGCCCCAGGAGGGGCTAAGGGCAAAACAGCTTGGGAAGAGTCCCGGCTCTGAACCCAGTGGACAGGGCTTTAATCATGGCTCCACTGCTTCCAAGTGGGCGTGGAAGAGGTGACCCCCGCCTCTCCGCCTGGCTCCCGCCCACCCAGCGCCCTGCAGAGGCGGGTGTGGGTGTGCGGGCAGGGGCTGGGTGAGGGTGCAGGCAGGGGCGAGTGCAAGCTGGGATGTGGGTGGAGGGCCGGGCAGGCGGGTGGCCATCTGCAGCAGGCCTGCTCGCTGGTCCTGCTCATCCCCTGGCTCTGATCTCTGCCACAACCTGTGCTCATGTGGGGTTCCATCGCCAGGTCAGGGCTCAGCCCTCACTCCAGGCCAAAACGAAACATGTGGGAAGGGGCCTTGGGAGCTTGGGGGGCCAGGCCCAGAGCTGGGGCAGGCTGCAGGCCTGGGGTGCAGGCAGCAGGCCACGTGCCCCAGAGGGTCAGCTGGCTCCCAGGCCAGGGCCTCGGGCAGCTCTGCAAACCTTCAGGGGCCTCTCCCCGCCCCACTACTGTCAGGGGTCAGGTGGGGACACTGGTACTGGGACCCCACAGGCCTGTGGGAGCATAAGCCAGCTTCGGACAGCCAGGACTCTTGGTGCCCTGACCAGTGCCCGCTGGATCAGCAGTCCCCGCCCGGGCCCTGGCCACGCCTGCCTTGCACTCCGCCCATGCCCCGCCCACACCCACCACGCGCCTCACCTTGCAGGCCTTGCGGGTTGTCAATGATGAAGTTGCCATTCCAGACCACAGCGAAGTCCACGGCCAGGTTGCTGGTGTCCACCCCATCATACTGGTACTGTGGGAGGAGGCAGGCACTGAGGCCGGGCACGGCCAGGGGCAGACTCCCCTCCCAGTGGACCCAGAGGCCCAGCTCTCTCAGCTGGACATAGCCCCTCCGCCCTCCTCATCCTGAGGGGTGGCCCAGCCCGGCTCTCCCCTGCCATCCCTCCTGTCCTGGGGCTGTTACCGGCCCCGGACAGCTGCCTGATAAGAGGTGGCTCTCATCACGCGCCCCCATCCCTGCTGGCTCCCACAGAGAGCGCAAAGGACACCTGGCCTGGGGTTATCACTGAGCTGGGAGGGTTGACCCTCGATGCTCCAGATGCACAATTCCTGCCCCCGCACCCCGCCCCTTGCCGGCCAATTCCTTCTCTGCCCCCGTCAGCACCCCTGGGGTGGGGTAGGGCTCACTGCAGCCTCCCGAGGCCAAGGGGGCTCCTGAGCTGAGTCTTGGGCCCAGTGCCCCTATCCCTCCATCCCCTGGGCCTGCTGGCAGGGGTTCTGGGGCTCCCACATGCCCTATGCCAAGGTGGAGTGGGCATGGGGGGCATGGGTGGGGGCTGGGCAGGTGTGGAGGGGTGCAGGCCAGGGGCCAGGAGGGGTAGGGGACTGGGGGGCCAGGTAGGCGGGGGCCAGGCACAGTGAGGGGTGCAGGCCGTGGGCCGGGTGGGGGTGACGGGTGGGCGGGGGCGGCCATGCCCCTCACCGAGCTGTTCTGGCACTGCACACTGGAGCTGTTGAAGCGCAGGGCGGGCACGCGGTGGACAGCGCCCTGGATGCTGAGGACGCACTCGTAGCCTCGCTGGCCGGACTGCGGCTGCGGCAGGTTCCGGGCCTTCAGGGTGATGGGCTTGACCTCGCCGACCGGGATCAGGATCTCGGCCGTGGGAACCAGCTGGGGGCAGTCCTGGGGCAGCAGGGTAGTATGAGGCTGGTTCTGGCACCATTGCCTCCAAGCGGCCCTCCGTCTGGCTGCTGCCCCAGCCCAGGGGTGGCCCACACCCAGACATGCCCTTAGAGCTTGGAGTGCATCTCCCAGCCCTGCCGGGCAGCTGAGCATTGGCCCCTGAGACGGAGACACAGGACAAAGGGGCTCCGAGGCTCCCCGCCTGGAACTCCAGGGCTTCATGTGGTCCTGTTCAGCGGCTCCAGTCCCCCTGCCCAGATGCCCCGTCCAGCGGCCATCCATGTTCCTGCCCGGCAGCCTGCCTGGCGACCACCAACCCTCGCGGTACTCGCCCTTAAAACTGCTCTGCGGCCAACCTGTTCCTCATCAGGCCACCTGGACTGGGGAAAACAGCTCGAGAGCCCATCCAGGGGCGGGAGTTGGGGTGGGAGTGGTGGGCGCCTGCGGGACAGAGGGGCTATGGGCAGCGGTACCCCTCACTGCTACCGATGCTGCACCCCAACTTCCCCCCAGTGCCCCCTCTGCCCACGTGAAGTGGACCCTGGCCTCTGTGGAAGGGTGAAGGGACAGCTATTGCTTCTTTATTCCCGTCAGCTGGGCAGGCAGGAATGACCGGTGTTTCTAGGGTCCCATGACCACTAAATTGCCAGGTCCTGTCTCCGAAGGATGCCAAGGCTTTCTACAAAGTGAGCCCAGGGACACTTCCTGTGGGGAGCTGTCTAGGAGGTACCTTGGGTCCCAGGGCCCATGTCTTGCGGCAGCCTCCCCTAAGGCCCGACTCGCCCAGGCACGTGCAGGCACACTCGGTGCACACCCTCCTGTCTAGGCATGAGCGGCCCCTGGGCCAGCAGGGCTCTGGCAGACCCCTGGGGGCGGGAAGGCCCAGGTGTGAGGCCCCTGGTGTGGGGCCTCCATCAGCAGCAGCCCCTCCACTGAGGCCCCCCTTGGGCTAAGGTGACTCCCTGGCTGAGGCCCCCCCACTGAGGTCCCCACTCCAGGGGAGGCAAGTCCCCGGCAGGGTCTGCGTCGGGCGCTTTTATGCCCACTCTCTTTTAAGATTTTCAACATTCTTTTAAATTAAAATTCTCATTTTTCAGCTTTACCTGGCATGCTTGGTCCACTTGGCACCGCACACACCCAGGCCTGCCGCCGCCCATCTGCCCAGAGCCGGGGTCGTGCTCCTGCGGCACCAGTGCCATCAGCTAACACCCTGCAGCAGCCCCAGGCAGCAGCGCTCGCAGCCCCGCCCCAGGCTGTCTGCCACGCTCACCACCCCTTTGCCTGCGTCCAGACCCGGGCCCTGGCCAGGAGGGGCGGCGCTGCTGTCCGGTGGTCTGTGAGCCCCTGCTGCCACCTCCAGACCCTCTGTGTGACCTTGAGGGAACGCAGGCACACCTGTGTGCAGGAACACACCAGGCATTATGCGGTCCAGACCTGCCAGCTGGCCACACTGGGCATGGAACACTGGCCACGGGACGCCCCCCACTGGGGGACAGTGGGGAGCAGTGGAAAGAAGGCCGGCATGCAAGCTCTGGCTGCGGACAGTAGGGGCGTGGGCGGGAACCCTGGTGTGGTGCTCCACTCCCACTGTCCTCAGGCCACCCGCCAGCTCCATAGCAGTCAGAGCTGAGGCCAGGAGAGGGGGACAGAAGGACGGCTGAGTGGACGTGTCCCCAGCAGCCAAGTTGCAGCCCCCAGGCTGTAGTTCAGGCCCCCAGTGTCCTGGGCTCTGGAGCCTGGACACGGTGCCTGGACACACAGTGCTCTGGCCGCAGCACCGCCGCCTGCTCAGGCTTTATAGCAGCAGGCGCAGGCTGGCTCCCAGGAGAGAAGGCCAGGAGCAGGGGGAATGGAGCAGGGGCCGGCCTACCTCAGAGGTGTTGATGCGGCCCTCCTGGAAGGAGCAGGTGGAGGGGTCATGCGTGCACAGGTTGCGGTACTTGCACCAGTGGCAGCGGAAAGCACTGTTCACGCAGGACAGGCACCTGCAAGGACCCAGCGGTCAGGCCCGGCCTCAGCTGGCCCCACTCCAGGGCTCCCAGGCAGGCATCCAGCACATGGGCCCGGGGGACCAGGAATGTCTGTGCTGGGGGCAACGGGGGCTAGGCACATGGGTGGGGACCCCTCCCGGGGAGAAAGCCAGGGCCCCCCCGGTGTCACCCCCCCTCCGGGTGCTAGGCAGCTCCCCTGGCCTTTGGCAGGGTGCCCCTGCCTGCCAGCATGGAGAGTTTGCTGTCCCCCCAGCTATGTCAGACGAGAGCGTGGGAACTGGGCTAGGGGAGGACAGCGCGAAGTTGAGCGTTATTTGCAAGAGCCGAATCACCTGTTACTTTAAGGCCTGAAACCACATTTGTGTGCTCAGAGAGGGCTCAGGATGCCTGGTGCTGGTTTTGGGACATAAAGAGCACTCAGCAGCTTCTCTGCCCTCTCTCCAGCCCGGGCTCTGCTCTGTGGGCTGGCAACGGCTACCTCCTCTGCAGCCTCAGAGGGGCCGAAGGTCCCAGGACTCTCCTGAGCTGACTGCCAGCCCCGCCCACAGCAGACCCCCACCCCAGCTGACCACCAGTCCCACCAGCAGCAGACCCCTCCCCAGCTGACCACCAGCCCTGCCCTCAGCCAGGCCCAGTGTGCTCAAAGCTTGGAAGCCCACGTTGCTGCCCTTTGTCCCGCCCCAAGCCTGGAGTCGGGGCCCTGGCTGGAGGCCGGGCAGCCTCTGGGCCATACTGGCCTGCAGTGCTGTCCCAGAGGCCCAGCCTTCCTCTCTCAGGCCATGCACAGCTCCTGGGTGTGGGGCCCCACCCCTGCTCTAGAGGTCAGAAAGCACCACCGGTGGGTGGCTCAGCCCTGCCCTGCTCCCTGTGGGGCTGGGCCCTCCGGGGCTCCTGTACACAGCTCCCAGTCCCTGCTTTCAATTCAGATCCTCCTCACTGTTTCACTTGAGAAGTGTGGTTCAGCGTAGTGGGGGTCAGGAGCATGAATGAAGTCAGAGGCTGTGGTGTGAGTGCCATTGAGGCTAAAACCACCGATGAAATGGAAAGTGCTAAAACACACTGAAGGTACATGCCAAGCCTGGCCTGTAGGGGGTGCTCAGACAGCTGTGCCCTCTGCTGCCAGGGTAGAGGGATGCCTGCGTCCAGCCCTGCCCACCCAGCCCTCCGGCTCACAGTTGGTGGGCACTGCAGTTGTAGAACTTGAACTCCGTGCTCACGAATATCTTCCCTGTCTCCTTGGACCTCAGCTGCAGCTCAAGCCCAAACCAGTCTGGAAAAGGAACAAAGAGAGTGACAACTGGGGTAGGTCATGAGCCACCTGGAGGCTATCAGGCACAGAGGGTGGCTGAGCCTGCCTGTATCACCTCAGCACAGAGGGGGTGGCTGAGCCTACCTGTATCATCTCAGCACAGAGGAGATGGAGCCTGCCTGCATCACCTCATGAGAGGGTAGGTGGGGCCTGCTTGAATCATCTCTCCCCCCAGAGCTCCTCTGGTCCTGCGTCACTGCCCCCCAGCCCTGTCCAGGCCAGCTGCCTGCCACCCAATTAGAAGGAAGCCCTAGCCGATGCCCAGAGCACCCACCAGTCAGTGTTCAGTCCCAAGGCTGGGGCAGAGCTAGGCAGGCCAGGCCTGGGGAGGCCCTGCAAGTTTGGCATGGTGCTTGCCTTCTGGGGGACATGGTGGACACCATCCGTGCCCATGAGCCTCCTGGTTCCTGACCACTTCCAGGCTGGTCATTGGTTTTCAGCTCACACAGCAAGCTCTGCCGGGGTGCCGCTGTGTCCCCGGCCTGTAGCCTGGTGGGCAGCCCGAGCAGGCGCTTCTCACCTCGGTCCAGAGGGATGACGGGGACCTCCTTGGGCCCCGGCGAGACACAGACGACCTGGCTCCCGGACACCTGTCCCTCCACCTCTGTCAGGTTCCCGAAGGCACAAGCGATGCCGGCAGAGAGGTCGGGAGCATCGCTTACCACCAGGCTGAGCTGCGGGCAGAGAGGCTCAGTAGGTGGGTGCAGGACCCCTGGAAGGACGCGGCCAAGCCAGCACTGCCCGCGGCCAGGGGCTCTCCTGTCCTGCCCTGCACCTTTCTGCCCCACCAGCAGCAGGAGGTGATGGGCGGGAGCACAGAGGAGGCACACAGGGGCATAGAGGGAGCACGGGGACCCACTTCAGTCCTCGGAGTGAGTGCCCACTGGAGGGTCACCAGCAGCACAAGCCACAGGACCCAGCCCATCTCCTGGGGGTGTGCTGCAGGGCCCAGTGGCAGGGCCCGGGCTCCCCTGCACCCACCTCCTGCTAAGGAGGCTGCAAGAGCAGGGCTGAGGCCAGGGGTGCTGGGGTCAGAGCAGGGGAGGAAGGGTGCCTGCCCTGGCCTGCGTGTGTCAGCCTGTCCTGCTGGGGGCACTTCCTGGCCCCACCCCAGAACCACCACAGTCCCAGGAACAGTCCACCAGCTCCGCAGCACAGCATGGTCAGTCTGGTGTTGAGCGCGCCTGCCCGGCGGTGGGGAGGGTGCCCAGCGGAGGCACCGGGACCTCCACACTGGGAGCCATAGCCGGGCCCTGCATGTGCACGTGTTGCACCAGGGGCCCCAAGGCAGCCCCTGCACCAAAGGGCTCACAGCCACGCGACTCAGGCTGCAGGGCGACGGTGGGACCACCCGCAGCACTGTCCTGAAAGTGCCCTGTGCAGGTGGGTGGCTGGTCCCTGGCTGCCCCGGCAGGTGGGCGGTGGGGGGCACTCACCAGCCGGCTGTGCTCGGACACAGACACGCTGCTGGGCTGCACCCGCAGGCCCACACACTGGCCAATGCTGGCGGCGAAGCGGTGGGGCTCCCAGGCCCGCGGACACCTGTCCCTGCGGGAGCACCTGTGCAGAGAAATGGTAGTTGGGCCATGAGAAATGGTAGTTGGGCCTGGGTGCCACTGCTGGGGAGCCGCAGTGTGACCCTGCAGGGCCAGCTCTCAGCAGGTGCCTGGCGGAAGAGGGCAGCGCCCAGCTCAGGGACGGGCTGTGGTGTCAGTGCCGTTCAGGTCCAGGTGCCGAGGCCGGCATGGGAGACAGCACCACGGGGCACGCCTGTCCACGTCCCCCGACCTGCTGCCACGGCTTTGCCAGGCAACAACTGCATCGCTCTCTGCCTTGGTTTCCCCAGCCTTTACTTGGCAGGGCTAGTGTAAGGATGAGTGGCCAGTCCCTGGCGACGGCCACGTGACCGTTCAGCAACACTGTGATGATGGTCACCACCATCCTCTGTGGGACTGAGACAGAGCAGGCCTGGCTGCGGCCCTTGGGGCAGGACCTGTCTTATCCATGGGGCCCTCTCATCTCGCCCCAGCCCCATCTCGCCATGGCCCTGTTTCGCCCCGGCCCCATCTTGCCAGGCCCCATCTCACAGCACCCAGGTGAGTGCTGGGCAGAGGGCCACAGTGGGCCCCCAGACACGGGCACACCCCCAGGCTTCCTGTGGCCCGCCAGGGCCCAGCACACCTGGGGCTTCACCCTCCTCTGCCTGCAGCTTCGAGCTAACGTCAGCGTGACTTTGCCTTTCTGTGCACATGGCGCACCAGGCAGACCTGGCCTGGTGTGGGGCAGGGCCGGAGGCAGTGACTGCTGGGCTGTGTCTGCGTGGCTGAATGGACTGCGCTCCCCACGCAGCCTGGTGTGGGGCGCCTGGAGTGATGGCACAGATGCCCGAGGCCTCTGACTCTGCATGAGCCCCCAGGGGCCATGTGGTCCTGCGGGCCGGAGAGGAGGATGAGGCAGGGCTCTGCCTGGCCCCTGCTCGCCACCAGGTTTGGCCCAGGCAGTGGACTTACATGCTATGCAGGGCACACCAGCCGCAGTGCGGGTCCCCCGAGCTCAGGCACTCTCCACAGGTGCTGTACTGCTCGCATGCCTCCACAGGCACCCGGGTGACCTGGGGGGAGAGCAGGGAGAGGGTGTTACTGTGGTGGCAGTCAGCAGGCCCAGCCAGAATGCACTGCCAGGGTGCAGGCGAGAGGCAGCAGTGGTCAGGGGGTGCCCGAGAGCCTGCTGTGCCCACAGGCGCCGAGCACGAGCGGGCGCCCAGGTGTCAGTGAGGGCAGTGCCCACCAGCACCCAGCAGAGTGGCCAGTACTCCCGGCACAGCTCCAGTCGGCCCGCGCCTCACGCTGGAGGCCCCACCTGCATCTACCACATCTGCTGATGTTTATGTCCATGACAGTGCGTGGCCACCACACTCGGACAGCAGGCCAGCTGGGGCAAGGGTCGGCAGATTCTGGTCTTGTGGCCGGCTGGGCAGGAGGCTGCCGGGCTGACAGGGACAGCTGTGGGGCATAGAGGCCACCCGCCCCTTGCTGAACATGTGGACTAAGTGAGGACAGGGCCCTTTGTGGGGACAGAGGACCTCTTGGCCTGTGCTGCGAGGAGACTGGTGCACCTGACCTGCCCCCCAGGCATGGACGTCTGCCCCCAGATCAGAGCAACAGCAGTAGGGCAGATCCGGCCCTGCAGGGCTCATCTGTGAGCCGTGGCTGGCCATGCTGGCCTTCTTGGGGCACAATGGGCACTGCCTGTGCTGCCTGTGGGGGCACTGGCAGTGGAAGGTTGCAGAGGAGGGGCTGAGGTATGGTGAGGAGAGGCTGGAGGTCTTGGTCCCTTCACCCATGTCAGATGCAATGCCAGGCCCTGAGCTTCACCCCCGGCCTCCCTCTTGTGACAACAGTATGGCCAGTAGGAAGGGCCACGGGAGCCCTGCGACTCTGCTTGAAAACCAGCACTTTCCATGGAGGGTGGGGTCCTGGGCGGGGACAGGGGGCTGCCCCACGTGCAGGGTCTGGAAAGGGTCATGGCCCAGGACCCTGCTGGGGATCCTCCCTGGGGGGGAGGCTCGGGCTGGTCAGGAGGTCACGGCCAGGCAAGGGATGCCGCTCCAGCCAAAGGATGGGGTTGGGCCTGAGTCTGAGACAAGCTGCCTGTGCTGAGGGGCAGGCTGGCAGCCCCGTCCATCCCCTCTGAGATGTGTGCAGCCGCAGAGTGGGACATTTGGGACCCCACCCCACAGCACCTCCCACCTCCTGGAGACCCGGCTGTCCGGCCACTGGCACCCGGATGATGCGGCCGGGGCAGCCCCAGCCCAGGCAAGGCCTGGTTTCCTGCGGAAACACCTCACTCAGGTGTGCAGCTCAACTCTCAGGGCCTGGGTCGCCTGCCAGCCTGGCCCAGCCTGGCCCGCCCTCTGCGCCAGGCCCCTGAGTGATGTCTGCATCTGGCTGGAAGTTAGAACAACTGTACGCATTGCACTCGGCCCGTCTGTCAAAACACAGCCCGCTCTCAGCAGCTGGGCAGAGGCGCTGAATGGGGGCTGTGTCCCTGGCCACAAAGCCCACTTTCACGCCAAGTGCCTAAGATAGTGGGGGCCCTGTTCTCCTCCACACACGGGCCAACAGCACAGTTATCTGTCCTGTTTCCTGGGCCCTCCTGGTGGGAATTTTTTTTAACGCATGAAGTTGAAGAGCGAAGTGAAACAGGAAACTTATGGGGCGGGGGGGTACACTTGAATGAGTCTGTCTGGGATCTAACAGCCATGCAGGGGCCAGAGGCAGGGCCAGCAAAGCTGGAGGGGCCCAGCCTGGGGCCCAAGCCCCTTTGCCGTCTCATGTGCCTGCATGTTCACGAGCCACGTCCACCCCGTGGCCCACAGACAGGCCATAGCCGGCCCTTTAGGGGCAGTGTTAAAACACAGCGGTCAGCTTTGAGCTGCTAACAGACCAGCACCAAGCGTGAGGCGGGCCTGGAGAGGCCTGAAGGGCAGGAAGGATGTTGGAGCCGAGAGCGGCCTGCGGCCTGAGACAGGGACCTGCCGCATGGACACTGAGCTGGCATCCACTCCGCCTGCCGCAGGGTGCCATGGTGTCAGGCTCAGTGCACCGTAGACAGCTCTCCTGACATGCCAAAGAGGCAGCTATGCCACTCCACCAGCAGGGACGCGGGACAGCTGCTGCAGGTGGAGCCCGGGCCAGGAGGGGCCGGGACCCTGGCAAGGACATGTCTGCTCATGGAGAGGGTCCGGACAAAGAACACCAAGGGCAGAGCTGCCTCAGGAAACTCGCCTGGTGTGGGGGGCCGCCGGCACAAACCCCGAGAGGGTCTTGGGGTCCCCTGCAACCCGGGACAGTCCCAGCTGGGGAGACAGTGCCACACACTCCGGACATGCCCGGACTAGAGGGCTCCCGTGGGGGCTGGGGCATCGGGGGGGCCCCAGGACCTGGACACTTCCTGCAAGCTGAGGGGATGTGGCACCCCAGGGCGGCCTGGAGCAGAGCCACTGCAGGCTGCTTCCTACTCCAAATCTGACAGTCCCAGACCACAGACCACGGACCACAGACCACAGACCATGCCTGGGCTGGGAGAAAAGGGCTACAACTCGGCCTTGGGGCTCTGGAAGGCCCAGGAGTAGGGGAAGGCATCCTTCCTGACGAGAGGGGTAGCTTGGAGCTGGTGGAGGCCTCTGGTGACCCAACCCTAAGCCAGGTGTGGGCGGGGCATCAGCCAGGGGCGGGGCATCGGCTGGGGTATGGGCGGGGCACTGGTGGGGCGGGGCGTCACATCAGCCAGGGGTGGGCGGGGCATCAGCTGGGTGTGGCCAAGACACTGATGGGGGCAGCAGGGATCAGGGACCTGCTGCTGGCCCTGCTCCTGCAGATCCGCTGCCACCGGCTCTCCTGGGTGTGTCCTCGTCGGTCGGCTCCGTGGGCTGACTCAGCGCGGCCAGACGCGCTTGTTGCGCTCCTGCACTTATGTGGTCGCTGTCCTGCACACGGCTGGGGCCTAAGGGTGGCCGTAACCACAGCCATGAGAACCCGGCAGCACCGCCCCCGCGCTCGGAGGGCTGGCACGCTCACATTCTTCTCCGCTTGCTCTAGCGTCTGGTAATTACACCTCTAATGAATAGAACTGTCCTATTAAGTCATTTGCTTAAGAAACGCTCTTAATTAAAGGTGACTCATGCTGTGTTCTTGGCTCCGTGGTTGTGTCTGGGGCCTCCTGGCATGTGGGTACAGATGTGAGGGGCCTGCCCTGCTCCCCTCTGCACAGGGGCGGCCACCCAGCGAGGTTGGCACAGGAGGGATGGGGTACATGGACATTGGCCGTGGGGTCTGGCCTGCTCTGGTGGTCTGGAACACGGCATGCCAGGGAGTGGGCTGTGTAGGGTGGGCCCAGCCTTAAGACACAGGCCCTGGGGCGGGCCCCACCAGGTTCCTCAAGAGAAGAGCTCCAGGCTGGGCCCTGTGTGAATGGGCAAGGAACCAGACTGCACCCCCAGCTGGGGCCGGGCCTGCTGGGGCAGTGGGCTCCTGCCTTGGGCAGCTGCACCCGCCTCTGCCCTCCGAGCGCTGGCTTGCTAAGGACACGGCAGGGGTGGAGCCGCCTGGACACGGGCATGAGATCTCGCCCGCCCGCACAGTGAAGCCGGGGGTGGGCTCAGGAGCTTTGAGAGGCCATCAGTGACCGGGGGGGGGGGGGGGAAGGGGCCGGGACCCAGCATTTCATCCCCAACTCCTGGAACCTGATGCCCCAGATGGAGCACCTGTCCCCACACGTGCCGCCTCCTGGCACAGGAGAGATGCAGACCCTGGTGGGATGGGGTACACAGCTGGTCCCGGCTGGGTGGAACGCAGCAGCTGAGGCACAACTGGCCTGACCCCTCCTTGTTTTGTGCCGCCGGGCCTCCACACCAGCCCTCCCCACCCCGGGGCAGCAGGGCCGCAGGCCCACCCTCCCCAGGCCCTGGCAGATCACCTGCTTGCTGAGGACACTGCCTGAGCCAGCTGCCTGTGGGCTGGGCCCCAGGCTGGAGGGGACTGCTTGGGGCAGCCCTGCGTAGGCACCCACCCCGGGCAGTCCCCCCACCCCACGCAGGGCCCTCAAGCAGGCCGCCAGCCTCTCTGGGGGAGGGCGCAGGGCCCAAGAGCACAGGGTGGAGGGCTCCTGGATTGAGGGGTAGCAGGGCCTGGGAGGATGACGTCCCTGGGGCACAGCATGGGGCTGGGAAGCGAGCAGACTCCAAACATGGCGCCAAGGGCCGGTGTGGGGGCTTCTGTGGCCTCCAGTCTGGGTTCTGGAAGGGTCTGCATAGCAGGGTGCTGACCCTGATCTCCATGACAACCCTAATGTCCTCAGAAGTGGAAAAGGGAGCGGGAAAGGGCTGGAGTAACACACACAGACCCTCACCCAAGCCGGATGTCTGGGGCCTCCCCAGGCGGCACTTGCTGGTCTTCCGGGGAGGGTGGTGTGCCCAGGCCCCCACTGGCCTCAGCCCTCCAGCAGGTGCAGGCTTGGGGCGTGTGGACCCCGCCATGGCACATTGCGGGCTCCCAGACTGCCTCTGGGGCGCCCACCTGAGGCAGGAGGGACGGCCAGCTGGCCAGCTTACAGCCAGGCCCCAGGCCCATGCCAGTTTGTGCCTCTGGCTACTCACCATCCCAACCACGTGGCCACCGGCCCTCCCCAGCATGCGAAGAGCTCACTCCCACCTCACCCCACGCCACATCCCAGGACAAGTGGGTGCAGCCTAGGAGCTTGTGAGACCTGGTAGGCCCAGGCGCCTGGCTTGGGTAAGGGTCTATGCTTATTTCCAGCCCGCTTCCTGCTCCCCCACTCCCCAAGGCCTTGTCGCTCAGCCCCTGCCAGCTACGAGTGGACGTGTGTGTGTGAGAGGTCACTGTCTATGCCTCCTCCACGGGGTGGCTGGGGATGACCAGGCTGCACCCCTACTTTTGGGCCCCAGGGGCCTGGAGTGAAGGGGCCCGCAGATACCACCTGGACAGCCTGAGGCTTGCCCAATGCTGGACACCTTAGCAGTGAGACCTGCCCCTCCCCGTCTGTCACAGGCCCACCCCAAGTCTGCATCTCAGCTCCCCTTGGCCCCAAACT